ATTATTCCGGAGATGTCTCAGCTCGGTAGTCCACCATGGTTTGCTGAAAACTGAGGTAATGGGTCGCCTTTTCCGAGGTACATGCTCGATAAAAACTTCGTACAGCTTTTCATAAAAAAACTGCAAGTGTTTCGTCCACTGTTCTGTTCTGCAATAGAAGATCCCAGTCGATACCAGCAAACGCGTTGTTTAGGAGATCGTAGTCGCATGCTTTAAAATCGAAGTTGAAACTCTCGTCTTGGTCGTCCATTGCAGCCAGATCGTCGCAGCTCTCGTCGAGTAGTAAAATGAATGGCCCGTGATGATTGTCAACGGGTAACAGTGGAGTACAGTGTGCGATGACGTCTAGAGCTCAGGTAGGTTGACGAACACGAGATCGAGAAGTCTACCGTTCATGTTGACGAAACTGTTTATCTGCTGGAAGCCGTTAACAAACATATTTTCGATGACGAATTGTTCGTGTTCCGAAGAAACGTTTGAGGGAATGTAACCATTTATATCACCATCCAAATGCCAGCGCAAATTCGACAGGTTAAAGTCACTCAGTGATAGAATAATGTCACCTTCTGAAGAACGGATTGACATATGCTGAACTGCTTTTGCATGAGCTGAATATAAGTCGGAGCATGAATTCGGCGGAAGGTAAATGGTGACGATGTAAAGCGAACGATGCCCTAGTAGACTGATGCAAAATTTGACTTTTTCGCTCCACAGTGCTTAAATGGTTCCAAATCGGGTCCTGATTAGTCTCCCAAAGTTACAACTCATTTGGTTAGAAACAGACTTCGCACAAGCCATTTGAAGTTTATATGTAAATTACTATGGGAAATCTCAACTTTTTGTTCATTGCCTTCTAGTCTTTTTCCATACTGAGCTGCGAAACAGTTCGATAACCATTCTTTAGAAAATTTTCTTAGCTACAACTTTGCTGAAAATTGTTTCTATGTAAAACGAAACAGGAAAAAGTTATTAATTATTTAAGAGATTGGTAAACTTATGACATGATCCAGCAGCTGCTCTGTAGGCAACACTGTATTTTGCAGTGTGACATAGTAGCCATGACTTTTGTGTCCTATTCAACGCCCAGAAACACCAATGTTGCCTGCTGAGCAGTTGATTGAGCATGATCATAAGACATCAGCGCATTGAACCATTGATAACTTTCGATTCTTGCATTTAATAAAAAAGTGATCTTCAGCAAAGTTGTAGCTGGAAAAATTTCCTACAAGTACAGTTAAAAGTTTTTGAAGCAAACCGATATGGTGAATTATTAGATAGACATGAACAAAAATCTAGGTTTTACCATAGTAATTCCCATACAAACTTCAAATGGTTTGTGCCATCTCAGTTTCTCACCAAATGGGTTCAAATTTTGAGAGGTTAGTCAGGATCTGATTTGGAATCGTTTAAGTATTGTGGAGCGAAAATTTTAAATTTTGCATCACTCTAATGCCCCAGTCCTACGCAAACTGCCACTTGTTCCAGTTGGTCGCAGTTCGGCAAAGTGACAGGTTCACAAACGATGTTGTTTTTGACCGCGACGAGCACTCCTCCTCCACGCGAGTACTGACTGGTCAATTCACTGCGGTCACATCTGAATAAGGTGTAATCCGAAGAGATTTCAGCGCTGCCGATGTCTTCTCGTAGCCAAGTCTGTTTGAAAACTAGCACGTCATAATCACAGCCAGATAATAGTAAGCGTAGCTGAACAATTTTGGTCCGTAAGCTTGAAAGTAGCTGAACAATTTTGGTCCGTAAGCCTCTGAATGATCGGGCACCTTTTGTCGAAAGGCATGTCCGACGGACATCTCCATTCTACCACCCAACCGCAGCACACCTTCTTTGTCCAGAATCGGAGTCAATTTGTACAGACAGCTGCTCTTCTTCACCGTTTCCATTACTGCATCTGGTTGTTGTTCCAGATTCTTGGTGAGAATGCTCATCTCATCTGGGAAACCTTCGAACTGCACTTGCTTCCACAGGATGATCTTTGGCATATAGAAGGTTCTTGACCTACTGATCAAATTTGTTTAAGACAGAAATCTTCTATATGGCCTGGATTCTAAGATATAGCATATTCAGGAAATTGACTTGCACACTTTCGCCGTACAGTGCATAAAATCATAACTTCCATCAACCAATCGAAAAGGCCTTGACCAACCGAACAACTTTGTCGAAGACTGTAACCTTCTATATGGCAAAGATCCCAAGATATAGCACATTAAAAAGTTTCACTTACACACTAGCGCCGCGTAGCACGAAAATTAGGAACTTCTGTCCACGAACCAAAAGTTCTTGACTATCTTGAACACATTTGTTCAAGACTGTAACCTTCTAAAGGGCGAACACGAAATTATTGCGACACCGAAAATGTCATGCCAATTTTCTTATAATGTTTAGAATCAAAACAAAATTTTAGGGTAGTTTTATACATATATTTACTTCAAAAATCAAAAGAAAAGTTAATCGATGGAGCCTTGAGTGTAAAATTGAACGCATTTTCGCTTGATGCCCTCCATCAAAGTCTTTACAGTGTCATCCGGTACCAGTTTCTCAATTTTTTCCATTTTCTTAACATGTCCTTCTCGTCTTTGACTGTGTTCTTGCTCTTCCGAAGTTCCCGCTTCATTATTGCCCAGTACTGCTCCACCGGGCGCAGCTCCGGACAGTTTGGCGGATTCATGTCCTTTGGAACAAAATGGACAGAATTGGCCTCATACCACTCCAGGACACTTTTAGAATAGTGGCATGATGCCAAATCTGGCCAAAATAGCGGAGCTTCGTCGTGCTGCTGCAAGAACGGCAAAAGGCGCTTCTCTAGGCACTCAGATTTGTAGATCTCGCCATTTACTGTGCCCTTTGTCACGAAAGGCTCACTCCTCAGTCCGCAAGAGCAGATGGCCTGCCAAATGAGATATTTGGAGGCGAACTTCGACATTTTCTTCTTCTTAAATTTGTCGTCCACATCGAACTTGCTCTTGCCGGTGAAAAACTCCAACCCCGGAATTTGCTTAAAATCGGCTTTTATATACGTTTCGTCGTCCATCACACAGCAGCCATATTTTGTCAGCATCTTCTCGTAGAGCTTCCGTGCCCGAGATTTAGCCGTCGATTGTTGCCGCTCATCGCGGTTTGGGAAGTTCTGTACCTAGTATGTATGTAGTCCAGCTCTCTTCTTTGTATTCTGGACGTAGCTCTGCGACATGCCGATCTTTTTAGCCAAATCACGGCTTGAGACGTTGGGATTTGCTTTAATCATCCGCTTCACCTTTCCCTCCGTCTTTTTGTTCTCCGGTCCCGGTTTTCTTCCAGCTCCTTTGCCGTGGTCCAACGTCAACCGCTCCTGGAACCGCTTCAACACTCTGGAGACGGTTGCATGGTGAATGTTCAACATTTTTCCCAACTGCCGGTGCGACAGGTCAGGAAATTCCAGGTGTTTGGAAAGAATTTGTTCTCTCAACTCGCGTTGGTTCACCTCCATTTTCGTTGAATCGAAAAACACGACTTCGAGTTTGCCAGCATGTACACAATACACATCAATAAGAAAGTGTGCAAAATTTGGTTGATTTTTACCCAATGGTAAAAAAGTTATGCCCTGTTGAATGTGTCGCAATAATTTCGTGTTCGCCCTTTATATGACCTGAATCCCAAGATATAGCACATTCAGGAAAATCACTTGCACACTAGCACCACGTTTTTGAAAAAAATGTGAACATATGTCAACCAACTAAAAGTCCTTCACGTACTGAACAAATTTTCCGAAGACTATAACCTTCAACATGGCCTTGATCCCAAGATATAGCATATTCGGGAAATTCACTTGAACACTAGCTCCCTTCTATATGGATTAGATCTCAAGATATAGCATATTTAGGAAATTCACTTGCACACTAGCACCACGTAGCGAGAAAATTCCGAACTTCTGTCCACCAATCAAAAGACTTAGACTTACTGGACAAATTTGCCGAAGACAAATAAATAATATTTAAAAAAAAACTCATGCGATTTTTCAGTAGTCTTATTGCATCAAAGTATTCCTTAAGCATTGGCGATGAATTAGAAAGATTTGGAATTACGGTTATTTGAAATTATTTAACGATAAAAGTATGATACGTGGAGGGGCTGATCAAATCGGGTCATTACTGTATAGCATATTCAGGAAATTCACATGCACACATAGAAAATTCGGAACTTCTGTGCACCAACCAAAGGTTCTTGACTATTTGTCCAAGACAAAACCCTCCCATATAGCAAGGATCCCAATTTGTTTTTTGACCTTTCGACATTATGTCTTCGACCTTTTGTTCTTTCGACCTTCTGTGATACATCAATTATTGTGATTAATTGTGGTATACGCTAGGATAATTACTGTTGTTACTGTGGCTGCCTATATGAAATTGTACGAAATATTTAGGTCACGTACCTACTGGTAGAATGGATGAAGAAGTTGTCATCAAATGCGCGTCAAAAATATTGCACTCAGTTCTATCACCAAAAATAACCATATTCACAGCCAAATCATTCACACGTATACTGAAACTTACGAACCGTTTGCCAACTCCATACGGAACCGATGTGATATTTTCTGCATATGTCATGACGTAATTGCATTTCCTATGTTCCAGACAGCAGCAAGTGTGCGATTATTAAACGATAGATATTGACGGCAATCACACAGCTCAGTGCAGGCTGCATACTAATAATCCTATCTACACTTTGATTCATTTTTCGGATTAATCATGCTTTATATATATGCAAATGTATGATAAGTCGAGTTAGTCAATGCTACTGGATTATTCCGGTCGAATAAAATCGGCTTAACATATAAACAACACAAAACAAATTAAATGGTTAATTAGGCTAAAGTTAGTACGCGTCAATAAGCACCCAGCACCGTGAACCTTATCGCAATCACCAGAAATGAAGAGCGTGTCAAAAACTCAACCAACAAACGGGAAACTAATAAAACCTAATAAAACTAAGTACAGACCGCTCCCTACCGAACTTTTTCTGCAGCCAATCTTCCGGTACCGCACAGTAGGAACCGGTCGGATCAACGTCCCCGAGAACCGGCTTCAGCTTCGCCGGCCGTCCGAATCTACTTCGCCACACTGTTGCCGCCAACTGTCCTGAACGTTGATGAAGCATTTGTAGTGGTGTGGTGGTTGTGTATGGTGTGTTTGTGTGTCACGACGGTGCAGGTTGGTGCGGGAATCATGCGAGCAGAAAATAGGAAATGTCAGAAAGAATTGCAAATGCCATTAACTTAAAGAGAGCAAGTTTACACACTATCCTTAAATGTTACATGTAATGTATCTGAAAATGCCCGTCGCCGTTGGAACAACCTATTCGCAGTGGGACGCAGTGGAGGAGATTTCAAAGAGATTAGCGGGGGGAGGTGGGGGTGTAATTTAGGGTTTACCAAGAAGGATCGAAACGTTAACTAATTGGGTAATTTGGAAATCTGATACCTGGTTGATGTCGATTTGGGCTAACCGTTTAAAGTTTAGCACAGTCTTTCCTTTCTTCCGATCTTGCAGAGCAGCGTGGAGAGTTTCCGTAGCTAGATTAAAAAAGGTTTTATATCTTTCGCTTTGAAGAAGATTACCAAACGAAATAATTATTTAAAAAAACATGAGAGCTTCCTACAGGGTGGGGAAAAATACCCACCTCTTTTGTCTCAGTGTACCACTCGTATTTGTCCGATGATAAATTCAGTACACATGTGTCATTTTGGGACTTGGTTCATTGTTAAGAAACGTGCAAAGTGCGAATCTGTTGGTGAGTAATGCCACAATGAAGCCAAGCCCATATCGTAGTGCAGTAATCAAGTTTTACAAGATTGAAAATTGTGCGGTATGTATCGCTAGGATGTTGAAAATGTTAATCCGAACTGTTCGAGGTACAATCATATGGTATGTTGAGCTTCAAAATTTACTACAATTTGTAGTATACAAACATTCTTGAATCATTTGAAAATTATCTGCAGATGTCTGTAGAAAAACGAACATCGATCGTCGATCAATATACCTAAAGGGATAAAGGCATGTGTGGAAGCCAAATGAAGACATCCATTTAAATTTTACGAAGAACGTTCGTGTACCGTAAAACGGGGTAACATTGATAGTTTTTTAAAGTATATTCTAAATATTTTTTACAGGAATTAATGTTTTTCAAATTTTATATTTTTAAAACAAGTACTGAGTATCCAAGAGTTATATTCAACGGAAATTAAAGCATTTACACCATTTTTTTAGTTTTGTTGACCGAACTTCAGTATTTTGATTTGAAGTTACTTTGATAATGCTCGATGAATGTAGAAAAAAAGGGGTGAAACTCAAAAAATTTAGTTCTTAAAATATAAAACTTTGAATGAGTATATAATCAGAAAACCTCACAAGTAATAAGAATACAACATTGAATTTGTTATGGCTCTATCAGAAATACATTTCATAAGTGATGGTTTGAGTGCTTTTTCAAACAGGCGAAAACACGAAAGTTGTTTTTTTTAGTATGTTTGTAAAATATGTTACACATAGGGGAATTTACGTATTCTCGGCAACCTAAGCAGCGTCTATCTATAGCCTTTTTCTCTATGGAACGCACACATATGCAGTATTGGTTTGTTGACAATCTTTTGCTGCCAGCTGCTCTAACAATTTCAGTCGAAAGAATAGTCAAAAACTGTTTTGAAACGCTTTTACAAAGCTTCAATCTTCTCTAGTGAGAGCGAGTATTGTCGGCAACCAGTTTTTCTTCGGCAACCGTTCCATTTGAACTGCATATAAATCTGCTGTTCTATTATCGGCACCTCGAAATCAGCTACAATTTGTAGTGCGTGTGTTGCATTTCAAGAAAACCTAGCTAGATTGCTTTTTCTCAGTGGTAAAAATATAGTCAAATTGAAGCTGAAAGCATAAAGAATCGTTTGCATGCATTCAGCGAAGTGTTTTCGTAAGAAAATCCAGTGAAAATAGTGTTTCAATTTGGGTTGCCGAAAATAGTCTGTCATGCCGAAGCCGTCATTTCCCCTACTATATAAAAACTATATACGATATCAACGGAAATACCCTAAGCTACAATATGGAACCAATTTTTCTAATTTGGAAAAAGCGCAGTGAGAAAATTTAATCTTTATATTATACTATCAAAGTTACCCGCATTATCAAAGATACCCCGTTTTACGGTACCCACCTCCTTTGGGTCAACAGTTGCGAGGGTGGTTCGGGTCCACTATGACGACTACGTCGCCGATTTTAACCGGTAGCGTACTGGAAGCGTACCTTTTGCAGGGCAGTTACAAGATTTCCTAAATTTGATCCGCGAAATCCGCGATTTCTCAAAAGAAAGCCGCGACTTCAAACACTAATCCGCGACAAAAACTGTTTTCATTGGCTAAAATAGCATTTGTATACTACTTCATGGCATTTCAAGTTTATTGCTTATAGCATATTAGATTTTTGCCTGCTCTCAACTTAGTGTTCTTTGAAGTACTTTCACATTTTAATTGAGAGCTTTCTATGACTGTACCATCCTATGTGCAAGGAAGTAGAGAAATTTTCCAACCCGAAAAATGAATAGACCGGGCGGGAATCGAACTCAGTCGCCTCCAGCTTGGACTTGCTTTGTAGCTGCGTCTTTACCGACTGAGCTAAATGAGTATCGTTTGTACTCTATGATTTTTTAAATAACATTGTACCATCTTCAGTTATTCATGTATAGTATAAATTCTGAGTAATTAGTGAACATAACAAAACACCTTTACATTATGAGATTCTATTGAATAATACCGGCCTAGATTTGATGAAGCATTATTTTCATTTGAAATGCAAATTTTCTTAAAAATTAACCTTTGCGTCTCGGACTTATTTTGCTGTCCTAAATTTAGTAAATTTGGTTATAGTTTTCTTTTTTTTTTAACCGATTCAAACCAAACACCCTGCACATAATCGAGAAATTATCAGAGTTTTATAAGTCACACTTGTTGGTCACGTTGCGGTTGTGTATTTACACGAATATTCCCACACGTCTGTCTAATGGTGAGACAATTTCACGATATTTTTTTATTTATTTCTAATATGAACCTAGCACTTTTCGTTGTCAAATCATAATCGAATTGTATATATGGTTGTTAACATCGTCTTGGAGTTCAGTTAATTTGATCTACTAGATCAACCTAGATTAGGACAAAGTCTTTAGTATCGAAATATTTCCAGACAGATGCACAGTGTCTATGTGGATCATGCATGGACTATTATCATGTATACCAGATGTTTTAAGTTCTCAAAATCGTTCTGGAGTTCAGATGATTTATCTTACTAGATCAACCATGACTGGGATAAAGTCTGTAGTATCGAAATATGTCCAAACAGATTTATAGTGTGTATATGGATAATGTTTAATTATTTCCACGTACACCAGATGATCTAGGTTCTCCATATCGTCCTGCAGTTCAGATGATTTGTTTTACTAGATCAACAAAGACTAGGATAATATCTGTAGTATCGAAATATCGATTTTGAAATCCTAGAAAATTTGGCATACACGGAAATAGGTTGGCATGATCCGCATAGACACTACAAAATGCAGATATTGAATTAGTCTTGGGTGATCTATAAGAAAAAAAATCTGATCTCCAGAATGATTTCAGAACCTATAACATCTTGTATACGTAGCAATACGTCGGGTACAATCCACATAGATACTTTGAATCCGTTTGGACATACAGTGGTGACCCGATTTTGTCAGCCCCCAATTTTGTCCACCTCCGATTTTATCTACCCCGGATTTTGTCAGCTTTTTGACCCGATTTTGTCAGCCTGCCGGATTCAATTAGTTTCGTTTGAGGTGAACTGTTTTCTACACTCGGTGATGGTATTTTATTGATTTCTAGACTCAATAGTGACACTGTTCGAGAATTATTTTCGGAATTTTAACTCTGAACACCACAGGGTGACTCTCTGGAAGATCCGAAACAACCGTAAAAGTGGTCAATTCATTAAATTGGTCTCAGAGCTTCGCGGTTTTATTTCAAAATCACTTGTTGATGTGTTGTGAGAATGAATTTCAATCAAGTTGTAACAGGAATATGGCAAGTTGAGACCTCAAGGTTTTCTTCCTTAGCACGAAGCTAACCACCGCGAAAATACAATGTTTGTTTTGGCACGTTTTCATTTTTCTACAAATATTGGAAAAAGATATCAAAAATCCAAGAAAATCAGTTTTTTTTTCCTATGATTCTTAAGTACAAAATTTTTTTTTCTTTTTCATCATTTAAAAAAATAGATAAAAAAATAAAAACGTTAGGTCTGTTTTTACGTATTTCACCCATTTATTTAAATGATGAAACATTTTCTTAAAAAAATGTAATTTTTTCGCAGGCGGTGGTAAGCTTCCCCTTAAGGTCCAAATCAAGCGTAAAAAGGTCAACCCACAAATTTGATCCAAGTGCTTTACGGTTTTTTAAACACCTTTTAAAGTGTTACCAGATTTCTAAAAAATCTTTATTTACGAGATTTTTAGCCGATGACTGGTTGATCTCGGATGTGTTACCGGAAAACATTCGAAATTGTGACTGGAATATGAACCCTTGAGGTCACGAGATCCGGAAAAACCGTAGAGCTGGTCTGAAAGCCCAAGATTTTTTCGAAAGCACTTGTTGATGTATTTTCAGAATTAATTCGGAGATATGAATGCAATATGCAATATGCGGGGGAGGGGGGGGGGGTTCTGTGAAGCTCTCGGACCGGTTTTATGAACAAACCATTTCTACGTTCGTTCCAAATATCCCGGAAGAACATACTGTAGTCGTCAAGGTCTATTTCCCAGCCACAATTTGAAATTCACTCTGATAATACATCAATAATTGCTTTCGAAAAAACTGCGAAGCTCTAATCCCAGTTTTATGAATTGGCCACTTTTACGGTCGTTCTAGATCTTCCGAAGGGTCACACTGTGGCCCCAGGATCCTTGTTCGGGTCACGACTCTAAATGGTTAGGTTTTCTTTTATAATGGGGGGCTTTCAGTCTGAGGCTGATTCACCTCCGGACGACTCTAAAATCATTCTTACAACGCATCTACATTCGCATTAAAAAAAAACTAAGATCACCCTCATGAATTGACCACTTT